AGGATTCCTACGGAATATTCAAAGTAATTGAATTGTTTGGAAAATACTTTGGAATGGACAGGTAGTACACTCTAATTGGACAAATAGGTAGGGGCGGAGCCAAGAATTTTAGTTAGGGGAGGTTGACTTTTCAAATCTTAAAATAATGCATTATAATTTTAAAAACTTACTTTCATATCATATATTAAAATAATACTTAACAGTCTTCATATCACAAAATCTATTTATAATATTGTCTACACTAAATGACTGAACTCTTTGCTTCTCAATATAAACAATCAAAGAGTTTGAGAGAGATTCATCTTCCATTTTGCTACGAAGTCTCGTTTTCACAATTTTCATGATAGAAAATACTTTTTCTATTATTGCTATAGAAACTAGAAGAGTAAACATCAAAGTAATTAATTTGTAAATGAGACTATAGACCTCTGATTTTCTTGTCTCTACAAGCCATTGACATAGTTTAGAAATACGGCAACATCCTATCTCTTCACCCTATGACATAATTAAAAAATATGGCAATATCCTATCTCTTCACCCTATCACTTTCTACAAGCAAACACATTTTTTTGTCCCTTTTTACAAGCTAATTACACTTTATACGAGTTTATCTTCCTTTTATACTAATTTATGTTTCTATTGCTTTTCTCTATATGACTATATCCAAGGTTTTTCCTTTTATTGGATTCATATATGTTCCCTTTATTGATTTGTACTTTCTTTTTTTTTCTTTTCTTTTTCAATTTTTTTACTCCGATCCAATTCTATTCCATATAACTTCAATATTACCATAATATTTAATTTTATTTGTAATCTCAACAATTCAAAATCCTAAAAGGAAATTATACAATTTTTTGTAATAATAAAAAATCAATAAGTTTCATTACTTAATATTACTCCCTCCATACTAGAATAATATATTTTTTTGTTTTATCTTCAAATGAAAGATTTGAAAACAATTTTTATCTTTACCTATTTTATACTTAAAAAATAATTAAGAATAAATATCGATTTCCATAAGAAAATAAATAATTAAAGTTAAAAATAATTATAGGGTTAAAGTAGAAAAAAACTATTTATTTTCCTCAAAATAAAAAAATGACTATTATCATGGGATAAATTCTAAATAAAAAATATCAATTATTTTGAGACAGAGAGAGTATACTAATTTTTTTGTTAGAATATATCTGCTAACAAGTATAAAACAAAATTTTAAAATAAAATTAAAAAAACTTACAAAATTTTAAAGTTGAAACTCAATATGACAATACATGATTCATATAAAAAGAGATAGTGTTGTTTTTAATTTTTACCAAAAAGTTAGTGGTCCCTTTGGTAGTCCCTTAATTTGTCTTCAAGCTTTCAATGAGAAGAGCAGTGTTGCAGTGGCTTGCATCGAGCCGCCAACAAAGTCTCTTTTTTTTTTTTTAAGTTAATTAGTTGAAAGAGATTGACACCGGGACAATGGGGTTGGAAACTAGAGAAATGACATAGAAGATACAAGAACTGGTTTTTCTTTTTTTTTTCTACAAAATTAAGTTGTGGGCCTTAAAATGGGTGGGTTTTAAATAATAATAAATAGTTAAA